GCCAGAAAAGGGACAGTGCACACCATAACCAATTTGTGGAGGAGCTACATGGCCCAGCCCAGCTTTGTGGGGCCATGTACAGGATATGCCACCTTCCCTGCTCAGAGCAGAGTGGGAAACCCTGAACCACCCACAGCGCAACAACTGCTGCCCTGCTGTGGGGAATTACACAATGCCTCCAGCCTTGGAAGCCTGCAAGGGAAATCCTCACAGCCTCCCAAAGAGCTGAGTGCCTGCAGAAAAAAACCAAAACGCAAAAAGGCTGTGCAGGGAACCGTGGATACACTGCCCAGGGTTCTGCCTCCCCCCACCAGGAGCATGAAGAGAGTGAGAGAGCCTTACGTGGGCAGCTCTGCTGGAGCAGCAGCCCCTGGAGGCTCCACTGGCAGCGGGCTGGGGGCTGCAGTGCCCTGGGCTGCAGCTGGCTCCTGTGTGCCTGCAGCTTCCCCAGCATCTGCTGCTGGGATGTGCTCCGTGGTCTCCACCTCGATCTCCTGAGCTGCAGGACACAGCTTCACCCTCTCGGCAGCTGCAGCTGCCTCCTCCTCCTCCTCCTTCTTCCTCAGCTTGGCCTCAAGCTCGCGGCGCCTCTTCTCATCGTCCTGCCTGGCCATGCGCTCGAACACCCGGAACGCCTGGGGGGAACAGCAAACACAGGCAGCAGCATAGTGAGCAGCACTGCCCAGACAAGGACAGGAGCATCACACACCTGGGCACCTGCTCCTTCCTGCCCCGCCTCTCCCTGCACCACACCCACCCCGAGCTGCTACAGTCACCACAAAAACAGCTCATGACTCTTTGGGAAGTCGAATGGCCGCATCAAGCACGCCTCAGAAAGCCCTGGGGGCATTTTGGAATTGCTTTTAGGGTTGTGTTCTCAGAGCCAGCGTCACCCTGGCCTGGGAAGAGGGCTGGTTACTCCAGGGAAAAGCAGAGCAATGAGATTCAGCTCTTGGCTGGGAGGGGGCTCCAAGGAAGCCTCCCCTTACCCCGTATTCCAGGCTCACCCAGGGACCATTGGCAAGCCTGGACTCAAAGTCTCCAACAGGCAGGCAGGATGAGCTGGCCCGGGAGAAGCTGCAGGACAGCTGAGCTGGCACTGCCTGTGCCCAGGCAGACAGGTGCAGGAGAAGATGTGATCCCAGCAGATGCAATCCTAGCCCTCAGCTGGCCTCCAGCCCAGCCTGCCCAGTGCAGCTGGAGGTCAGACGTGACCCACAACTGCCCGGAGCTAACCCCTCGGCCGGCCCGATACCAACACCGCCCAGCCGGGGAGACATGGCCCGTGCGGCTCGGCCCCGCGGCAATGAGAGCCCTGGCCGCCGGCAAGGCCAGGCCGCGCCATCCCCCGGGCCCCGCCGGTACCTGCAGGGCCATGGCCTGCGCCGCGCCGGGCGGGAAGCCCAGGCGGTCCCCGGGCCGCAGAAGGAGCCGATAGAAGTCGGTCTTGCGGTAGAGGAAGCCGAAGAGGATGCGCAGGAATTCCTCCACGTTGCCGACATGCTGCAGGATGCCCAGCAGCGCCTGGTCGTACATGTCAGTGAGCGCGGCCTCCATGGCGGCCCCGGGCCCGCTGTCACGGCAACGGGTTCGGCCGTACTTCCGGTCCGCCCGGAACCCGCCCCGCGCACATCTATTCCGGCCGCCGGGAGGCCCCTCCCGCCCGCTGAGGGTTCCAGGGCATTCCCGGCCCCCGGTGGCACCGCTGGCACCTCCTGGAGCCTCCCAGCAGCGGCAGCGGACGCCCAGACCCCGCGCCCCATGTCCCGCTGCCCGTGCCCTCGGTGTCCCCTGTGCCCCCGGTCGCCCCCTCCCCTCGCCATTCCCGGCTCTGCCCGCGGCGGGCGGGGCTGCAGCTCCCGCTCCGCGCCTGCAGGTGGCGCCCGAGCCACGCGGCCGCCGATCGGGGGCCGGGCGCGGCACCGGAAGCGGCCGCGGCACCGGAGCTGCACCGGAAGCGGCACCGGGAGCGGCACCGGAAACGGCGCGGGCCGGGCCCGGCGGGGCGGGGGAGCGGTTCCGGCGGCAGCGGCTGCGTTCGGGCCTGGGGGAGCTCCCGAGCCGTCCCCTCGCTCCAGTCCCGCTCTCTGGCCCGGTGACCCCCGCCACTGTGACCCTCGGCCCGTGGGTTCATCCAGCCGTCCACAAAGGTCCTGGGACACACCGCATCAAAGCTACCGAAACCAAAAACGGTTCCATCAGCTGCTTCCCTTGATCAGCACTGCGACCATCCAATAATATTTATTATTATAATAAATAATTATTATTTATTATATAAATAAATTTATTTATTTATTTCAATAAAGAGAGAGACGGTGGGCTCCGTGCTGCTGGGAGCCAAGGTCAGCCAGTTTCCTCCCAGTTTCAATCTCGGCCCCCAAGTTCTGTTTCCTTTGCTTTCCTGAGCGTGCTTCTTACTCCCTGAGGGGCCAAGTGAGTGAGCAGCTCCCTGTGCCAGCTGACAGTTGCCACTCCTTTTTGGTGACAGATGTCACCTCGGTGTGTGGGCACCGAGGGTTTGGGATCACTCCCAGGTGTTATCAGCTCCTGACTCCTCCAGGGGAACTCCAGGAAGGGTTTGGGCCCTGCTCAGGGTAGGTGCACACCTGACACTCTCAGGCACTCCCAGGAGCACTGGGACTTGCTCTGCACACAGGTAAAGCCCCAGGTGGCCTCTGCAGAGTTTTCTAGAGCAGCTCCAGAGAAGCCTGTGTGTGCTGGGGCAGGGCTGAGTCTGGTGGCTCTGCCTGAGCTGTCTCCAGCAGCTGGGGAACATTTGGGCCCACCGTGGAGAGGGAGAACAGAAGAGGCAGCCGTGGAGATGGCAGAACGTTGCTGGTGGAACCCCCTGAGGTCACAAAGGGCCCTGTGGAGCTGCAAATCCAGGCCCTGCAGGTGTGCAGGGCAGGTGGGTGTCACGTCTGCTGCTGCAGGAGCTGCACCAGGAGCTGCACCAGCAGCAGCAGCACCAGCAGCTGCAGCATGGCATGGGCATGCTGGGCCCTGGCTCTCAGCCTGCTCCTGCTGGCCCTGCCAGCCCGGGCAGCTCCGTGGCAAGCAGAGCCCGTGGGTAGGTGGCAGCCAGGATGCTCTGCAGTGCCTCATGGGCAGCAGGGGCTCAGAATTGCCCTGACTGTCTCTCTGTGTCTCTGCAGTGCAGGAGGAGGAGGAGGAGGAGGCGCCTGGGGAAGGCCTGGCAGGCCCCAGGGAGAGCACCGTGCACACAGCAGGTGTGTGGGGATGGCTGTGCTTTGTGCAGCCCCACTGTGAGACCCCTGAGGCCCCAACACAACCCAGGGGATCCCTCCTCACAACTGGGGGGCCCAAAGGCGTGCACTCTCCTTGGCACAGGAATGGGTTTTGTTCACTCCAAGGGTTGATTGGTCAGGCAGCTCCTGTCCAGCTGTGCTCCCCCTGTCCAGCTGTGCTCCCTGCGCTCCCCCCATCCTCTCTGTCCAGCCCCCTGAGTCCCGACCATGGGGACAGCTGCATCCTTCAGCAAAGATGGGCAAGTGCAAGAAGAAATGTGAAGGATTCCCAGGATCAGGGAGCACAGCCTGGTGTGCTGTGTTGTTCCATGATCCTCTTCCCTGTTCTGCTGTTCCATCAGGACAGATGGTGCTCCAGGCTATGGGGGGAGCTCCTGGGGGAGTCTGGATGCAGCTGTGGGCACTGTCAGGGGGTTCCCAACTTCTCAGCTCGACCCTGCACTGGAGCTGCCCTGGTCACTTGTCAGTGCTGACCGACTGCACAGCCTGAGGGCTGCTCACAGGGTTTGCTGGGGGCAAAATGCAACTTTATTCTCTGCATCAAGGTCCAGAGTATCAAGATGGAAGGGGACAATCTTCCGTGGAGACAACCAAAGTGCTGCATGACATCCTGAGGGAGCTGAAGGCGATAGTAGGAGGTGGGCACAGGTCACTCCTGAGCAGCACAGTCGGCAGCTGAGGTCTTGGGTGCATGGAGGGGCACACCAAAGACCCCCCAGCCACACTCAGACCCTCGCTGAGGGACCCTGTGGGCACTGACGAGCTGCAAGGGTGGCCCAGAGTCTGTACTGCCAGCTGTGTCTCCAGCTGAGTCCCGGGGACCGTGATTGCCCCAGTCAGATCATCACTGGCCAGAGCACAAGAGAAATTGTGGGAAGAGTCCCCAGGAGCAGGCAGCAAAGGCAGACACTTGGAGAACTGGATTAGGGTTATTAGCAACACTCTGAGGAGAGGGAGGGTGCAGAGAGTGGGGACCTGCAAGGGCTTTGGGAGTTCCCTTGGTTTTACTGAGGCTGAGGAAACGTTGCCACCACAGGATATTCCCCTGCTCAGAGCTGTGACCGTGTTCACAGGGGTCTGAGGATGAGGGAAGAGATGAGGATCTGACTCCTCATCTGCATGTTTCAGAAGGCTTGATTTATTATTTTATGATATATATTATATTAAAACTATAATAAAGGAATAGAAGAAAGGATTTAATCAGAAGGCTAGCTAAGAATAGAAAAAGAAAGAATGATAACAAAGGCTTGTGACTGACCTGAGAGTTTGAGCCAGCTGACTGTGATTGGCCATTAATTAGAAACAACCACATGAGCCCAATCCCAGATACACCTGTTGCATTCCACAGCAGCAGATAATCATTGTTTGCATTTTGTTCCTGAGGCCTCTCAGCTTCTCAGGAGGAAAAATCCTAAGGAAAGGATTTTTCATAAAAGATGTCTGTGACACAGAGCTGCTGGCGAGGTGGCAAAGAACATTTGGTGGCAATGCCAGCCCTCTGGTGAGATGGCCAGAGGCATGCAGGACACACTGACGTGCACTCCTCCGGCAGGAGTGAAGAGCCTGGGGCTGAGCGGCGCTGTCAGCAGGAGATCGGCCGGGGGCAGCGGGGCCGAGCCGGGCACCGGGGACGGCGAGGCAGAGCCCGACACCCCCGTGCTGGGCAGGGCAGACACCAACGCCGTGGATGCCAGCTCCTTCCAGACCTACTGCATCGAGGGCATCGTGGCCATCCTCGGCTCCATGCTGCTGGGGATGGTGCTGTGCTGTGTGATCCATGTGTGGAGGAAGAGGAGGAAGTGAGCTGGTGGGGCGGAGGAGAGCTGCTGTGGCAGCATGGGGTGGCACGAGGCGTTTGGAGCTCCAGTGAGTGGAGATTGGTGCTGTGGGCTGGCCCAGAGCCCTCTGTGTGCCCTGTGCAGGGGTGCCCACGGCCCAGGGGTGCCCAGGCTGTTCCACACCCTCACACCCACCCTGTGCCCAGCACGCCTCAGCAGCTTCCTCTGTCCACAGGCGCCTTGCAGCTGCCTGAGCCAGCTCAGAGGGCCCAGGCAGAGGAGCCAGCAGAGTGTTTGGAGAATATTTGTATTTATAAATAAAGAGCAGAAGCACAATCAGTTGTGTTGTACTAGCAGCAAACTCACATGGGTGCCACTGCAGGTCCCCTGGGTACTGAGGGGGTGAGGGGAGCCCCACAATGCCACTGATTCTAATTTATTCCAATTTGATTTTCACTATGTGTATTATCCACGCTGTAAGCAATACAGTGACCCTGGACATGACCCTTCGTTGCGTTTTTTGCAAATTCATATTAATTCCACCTGAATGTGAGGAAGAACTCTGTGCAGGTGGCCATGCACTGGGACAGATTGCCCAGGTTGTGGAGTCTCACCCACTTGTGATATTCCAGGACTGTCTGACCACAATTCTGTGCAATGTACTCTGGATGACCTCGCTTGAGGAGGGAGGTGGGACCAGATGATCCCACTGTTGTCTCTTTCAGCCTTACCCACAATGTGATTTGTGTTCACCAATGCCTTTGCCAGTGATCCACCAGCACGCAGTGAGTGGAAGGGGTCTGCCATGCAGGTGAGATTGTTTCATATGCTTGGGCACCATCCCCTGGAGAAATGCGTGGCAAGGAAAGGAGCTGGGGCTAACCTTGGCAGGGCTTTTTCCATCCCGGCTTACTGGAACACCAGGAAAAGGTGAGGTGCCTGTGCGGGTGTTTCCTGTGGAGCTCTGCTGTGTCTGGCTGCTGTCCAGAACAAGCACTGAGTGTCTCCCAGCCTCCAGCAACTCACAGACCCAGGAATATTTTATATCTATTCTGTTCTATACCTTTTGCCATGACATATTAACACTCTGTGGTTCATGCATTTATTCTGAACCTGCTTTCCTGTTGCTCCGACAAACCAAACTATTCATGGATCATGTATATGGATCATGTAAGTTCTCACAGAACATGACTGCACTTTCAGTGCCCAGCTGGTGACACAGGGAGGGGCCATGGAGGCACATGTGGCAGGGGCGAGAGCCATGGAACAACTTTTGGGGTGAGGTAAGGAGACAGAGATCATTCAACAGTTAAGTCATGGGCAAAACGCTTGACTCAGGAAAATTAATTTTAATTTATTACCAATTAACAACCGAGTAGGACAACGTGAAGTAAGAGGATCAGTCAGGAGTGGAGCCCAGGTAGGCAAGGACGCCAGCAGCTGCAGTGCTGGGGGTTTCTGGAGACTGCTGGTGACACCTAAGAGGTCCAGAGTGTGCCAATGAGTGCTGGGATGCCCAGTCACGCTGTTGAGCACCCGGGCACATCCAGGGACCTGCAGGTCTAAGCCAGCACCAGGACTGGGAGTAGTGATGCCAAGCAGGTGGATTTCAGGGCACGCTCAGCATCCATCAAAGGCTCCCAGTGCAGGAGTTACAGACTTACTGGTGTTACTGGGGCGGGGGATGCAGCCCCTGGCTCTGTAGGTGAGACGGCCACAGGCTGGAGTGTTTCCCAGGGCGGTTCCCAGCAGTTCCCAGAGTCCTGCCTTAATTGCCTCCAGTGTCACAGTGCCACCGCTCAGGGTGGGGCTCACTGCAGGGGTGAAGCTGACAAAGGTCTGAGGATCCCCTCCCAGTGCTGGGAACCTGCAGTGCACTGTCCTGGGGCTGCCCAGCCTGCTCCTCTCCAGCACATCCTTGGCCCTGAGTCCATCTCTTCAGTTCTGTGATCTGTGCAAGGTTTGTACCCCGCTGTGCCCCTGCAAGGCGCTTCCACGCCTGGCCCCACACCTGTACACTTTGTGCTGTGCCCCATTGTCACTTGATTTTTTAAGATTTTCTAAGCCTTCTGATGTTGACATTCTTGTAGTGAACTTTCTCTCACACTTTCTGTAAATAACTAATCGTTTTGCATTCCTTTATGGAAGAAGTTGATAGACTGTTGGTTTGTCCAGTGTCATTGGAGAGGTGGCACTGTTACCCTCCAATCCACTGTCACTCTTAGAAAACTGTAAATGTTAGAGTCAGAAAATAAACTTCCCTTTTTTCTTCACCTTGAGAACAGTGGTGTGCACTTGTGTTCTTTTGTGTCCTATAGCGACATCCCATGTTTGGTGCACCCCACACACCCAGTGCTGCACCCCACGTACCTGTGGCTGCACCTACATGCCCAGTGCTGCTCCCCAGACCTGCCCCTACCCCTGCAGGGGTGCAGACACACCTGGATCCCTTCCCAGCTTTGGGGGTACAGGGTTATGGGATCTGCAGGCCCACAACATGGATCCTACCAGCTTCATCCAGGGACTCCTGCCAGTTTCCTCCCCAGTTCATGCACCTAGGGCAGGAATGTGGAGTGGGGACAGGGGAAAGGTGTGGGCTCACCCCTGCTAAAGCTTTGGGGAGCTGAGAGTGCAGGGGTTCCCCAGGCCGAGGTACACATCCCTCCTTCCCCGAGCCCCAACTGTGGCTCTGTGCAGGCAGTGCTGCACGTGGCCCTGGGGACACAGGGCCTGTGGGGACACGGGCTGGACTCTGCCCGGGTGACGCAGGGGCAGTCATGCAGCAGGGCTGGGGCAGCCTGGCCACTTCCCCAGGCACCAGGGGCCACCTGCAGCCCCTGTCACTGCGTCCCCATGACGTGGTGGTGTGCAGCAGCCCGGCCGTGCCAGCCCCAGCTGCTGACCCGTGTGGTGGCACAGCCCCTGGCCACACACCCCAGCTTCCTGTGCTGGCTGACCCCTGCCCCGGGGCTGCGTCTGGGCACTGAGCCGTGGTTCCTGCTAGGCAATGATCACCCCAGATGGGAATGGGAGAGGGGCTCCCCCAGCTTGGGGCACACGTGTGCCCCCAGCGTGGGCCAGGGCACGTGGGGCTGGCTGTGCACACACATCCACAGCTGCTGCACGCCGAGGGGCTCACCCCTCCCCTGCCACCCTGCAGGACCTCCTGGGAACCTCCTGGGACCTTGCAGGATCCCCTGAGCTGCCACACTCAGCTGTGGATCTGGTGCCGTAGTTAATCCTGGTGGGAACTGGTTTCAGTCCCCACCTATGGTCCTTGCCAGTCTAGTGGGGGACCCCTGGGCTGGTGCTGGTCTCAACCAGTGCAGGCACAAAGCCTGTGTGTGATGCCAGTTCAGAGCTGGAGTGGCACTGAGCACACTGGAGAGGTACTGAGGCACACTGGAGAGGGACTGAGCCACACTGGAGTGCCAGCCCCGTGGCCAGTAGCTCCTTGCCCACCTGGGCTGGCACAGGCTGGTCATGCTGGAGCTGAGCAGAGCAGTTCCATACCTGGGCCAGCCCCACATCCGTGCCAAAGCGAGTCGAGCTGTGCTGCATCCCAGCCTGGGCCCTCACACCTGCTGGGCTGTGCCTGTGCCACACTGGAGCAGAGTCCACATCGGTGGAAAGCCGTGCCAGATGTGCCCGGCCAGGCCATGCTGTGCCGGTGCCGGGCCATGCCGTGCCGGTCCTGGTGCCATGCCGGGCCGTGCCGGTGCCAGTTCCGGTGCCAGTGCTGGGCCATGCTATGCCATGCCATGCCGGTACCGGGCCATGCCGTGCCAGTGCCGGTACCGGTGCCAGTGCCGGTGCCGGGCCATGCTATGCCATGCCACGCCGGTTCCGGTGCCATGCCGTGCCGGTTCCGGTGCCAGTTCCGGTGCCGGGCCATGCTATGCCATGCTATGCCATGCAGTGCCGGTTCCGGTGCCGTCCCTCCCGGGGCACACCAGGCGCGCACGTGGTTCGCCGGCGCGCTGCCCGCACGGGAGGGCGGGGCCGGCCTCGGTCTCCGTGCTCGGCGCTGCCCAATGGCGATGCGGCCCCGCCCCTTTCCCTCGGAGTGTGGACCAATGGGCAGCGAGGGCGGGGCCGGGCCGGGCGGGGGCGGGGCCGCGGTCACGCGGGGGCGGGGGGCGGTGTTAAAGGCGCCGCGCGCTGTGGCCGCCTTAGACCGGGTGGCGACACCGACCGGGACCGAGGGAGGGCAGCGGGGTCCGGGCGGTAGCGCATCCGAGCGGCACCGCACGCGGCTGGGCATTCCCGGTTAACGCGGCCCGGCCCGGCCCGGCCCGGCGCGGCGCAGCGGTGAGCGGCGGTGACGGGCAGGGGCGGGCGCACGCACGCATGGCGGCGGGAGGGGGCGGTGGCGCGCGCGGGAGCGGCCGTTACCGGCGGCGGGAAGGGCCGGTTCCGGTGCTCGCCCCGCTCAGCTCTGTCCTTCCCGCAGGATGAGGAGCGGCGCGGACCATGGCGCAGCAGCCGGCCCCCAGCCCCTGCGACCCACGGGCCCCTAGGACGTCGCGGTGTCCCCGAGCCCTATAGCGATCCCTCTATTTAATTTTGTACCTAATTTATTAACCTATCGCCATGGACCCCACGGTGCCCGCCGCCCCCATGGCCAACGTCCTCTGGATGCTGGTCCTGGGCTTCATCATCGCCTTCGTCCTGGCCTTCTCTGTCGGTGCGAACGACGTGGCCAACTCGTTCGGCACGGCCGTGGGCTCGGGGGTGGTGACCCTGCGGCAGGCCTGCATCCTGGCCAGCATCTTCGAGACGGTGGGCTCCGTGCTGCTGGGGGCCAAGGTCAGCGAGACCATCCGCAAGGGTCTGATCGATGTCAAGATGTACAACTCCTCACGGGAGCTGCTGATGGCAGGCTCGATCAGCGCCATGTCCGGTAAGGAGCGGGGAGGTCACGGTGGAGGGGCACTGTGACCCGGGATGCCCTGGTGATGGCTCTCTTAGCCGGCTGCTTCTTCTCCAGGATCTGCTGTGTGGCAGCTGATGGCTTCATTCTTGAAGCTCCCCATTTCTGGCACCCACTGCATCGTTGGGGCCACCATTGGCTTCTCACTGGTGGCCAAAGGGCAGGAAGGTGTCAAGTGGTCTGAGTTGCTGAAGATTGGTAAGTGCAGCAGCAGGACCACCCCAGACATGGACCCCATGTGTCCCTGGGCTTCCTTTTCCAGCAGCAGGATGCTGATTGTGCCTCTCACTTTCTAGTGTTGTCCTGGTTCATCTCACCCCTTCTTTCGGGCATCATGTCTGCTATCCTGTTCTTCCTCGTCCAGAGGTTCATCCTCTGTAAGGTAAGGGCTGTCTGCCCTGTTTTCTGATGCTTTGGGGCTCTGGGCTGCTCTCAATGGACTTGTTGGTTGGCTTATGGCCACCAGGGCTCCGCACATCCTGGAGTGTCTGTGTTGGCATCAGGGGAGCCCTTTGGAAGCTGAAGACGTGAGAAAATGGGGCCTGTGGCCACTCCACAGAGTGGACTTGGAGGGTTTGGGGCATCACCTCCCCTCTGAAACATGGCAGTTGTTTTGCCTGGCTTCAGCAGGAACAGCCCTGTTTCCCAGTAATGAAGTAGCTCAGAATTGATAAGACCAGTGCTGTCATCTGGGCTTTTCCAAAATCCTGGTGTAAGGGGCTTTTTTTCCATGGGGTAGGCTGCAGGTAAAGGTATTTATCCACAGCCATGGCATTCCTCAGCTAGGAGGGACAGAATTGTTCCCAAGTCTGGGGAAGCCACATTCCTGAGACCCAAACTATGCAGAGAAACTCCAGTATTCTTTTCTGCATATCTGAGGTTAAATTCCTTTAAGTTTTACCTCTAACAATTGAAGAGATGTTAAGATTTTATCAGTGGCAGTCCTTTAGAACAGCTCAGCGTCACCACTGTCACAGTAACCTTGTGTAACCAGCCTCCCAAAGCGTGGCTGGCCCTGTCATGCTCCATCCTGGTGCTTGTGCTGCTTGGCATTCAGGGAGGCTTGGTGTGCTTGTCCTGATGCCAAATCCCAATTGCTGGGCAGCAGTGGGGATTAAACACTCCTTCTGCTGGGGTGAGGGCCTTGCTGCCAGGTTATGTGGTCAAATAAGCTCCTTTGTGACTAATGGACTTTTTATTTTGTTCAAGTCAGCTGAAAAGGGGCAAAAGCTTTGAAAGTTATTGGGGAGTTGAAAGAAAAATGTAAGTGGAGGTGGCACTTTGGGGAGCCAGGGAAAGGGTTCAGAAGCCAGATAGAGATGAGTTGTTCCAGGCCTGGGAGTGCTGGAAGCCTTGGCTGGGTCTGCCCTAGCTCTGTGGGGAGGCTTGTGGGATCCAGGTGTTGTGCTACCTCCTGCCCTCCATCTGACTGGGGGCTGTTCCCTAAAGGCTGTTGGGAGCTGTCATCTGTAGGTGACTGAGGGCACAAACCCCTTCTGGAGAGGATCTGTTGCTGAGCTGCTCCTGGGCTGCTGCACAGCCCCCACTGTGCCTCTCTGCAGCACTGCTCTGTGTTTTCCAGGCAGATCCTGTTCCCAACGGCCTGCGAGCTTTGCCCGTCTTCTACGCTTGCACTGTGGGAATCAACCTCTTCTCCATCATGTACACTGGGGCGCCCTGTAAGTGCACAGCAAATGCTTCAACCTGAATTTTGAAATTCTTTCCAAAGCCTCCATTAAATGCACGATTTACCCCTTTTTTGCTTTACAGGGCTGAGATCTCCTAGAAGGCGGCTGGCCTGTGCCGGTTACGGAAGGCGGCAGGCTAGCCTGCACTGTCTGGGCTAGGTAGTTGCCCAGCCAAAGAGACCTGCTCAAACTAAACTCCTCCAGACCTTTCTCCTTAGACTTGCCAGGACTGGCCAATAGCATGGCTTCCCCTTCCCTTCTCTTACCTGTGCTAAAACTCAGGTATCTGCTGGCTGCCAGCAGTGGGGCTCGGAGCAGGGATGGGGCTGCGCCTCCTGCTTCATCCTGTCCCTAAAAACAAGCTAATTACTCTTGTCCAGAAGAGCTGGCCTGTGTGCTGCAGAGTCTGAGCTTCAGGTTGAAAAGCCAAGCTAGGATGCTGTGTGGCAAGGGACAAGTCAGGAGCATGACTAAGGGAGGGCTCAGCAGGGATAGGTGGATTTGCCCGTGGAGCCAGAGGCTCCGTCACCTCCGTTGTTTGCTGGGATGACTCGGCCTGAGCTGTTTTCTGGTGTCAGCGTGGGTTTCCTGTTGTGGAGGAGCCTCTGGAGGTGGGATGCGGGCAGGCAGTGCTGGCTCTGGCAGGGTTTGCTCTGTAAACAGTGGCTGGAAAATTTTTTGGAGGGATATCAGCTTCCCCTTCCCTGGGCTCTGCAACATGGGGGAGAGGAGGGCAGGCCTGCCGTGGTGCTGCTGGGGGCACTGGGGCTGCTCCCAAATTACTTGATCACTTGGCATGTCCAAAGTGGATCTGTGTTCATCCTGAGCCCTGAACTGCTGAGTGAACTCTAGGTTGCTTGAGCACAGGGTTTGCAGGCAGACCTGTGCCTGCTGGAGGTGTCTGGGCTGCTTCAGGAGCAACAAGGCACTGCCTGCAGCAGCAAATGCAGGGTTTGGATAGTCACAAGCACCTGATGCCCTGCCTGGGCTTGTGTGATGCCAGTCCTCTGCTCAAAGTCAGGCTGACTGTGAGAATGCTCCTAAGTGGGTCATGTATCACCTCAGATGCTATGAAGCCTAAATTGCCATTGACTCCTGGAGCAGAAGAGCTGCCCTCCCCAGCAGCTGCAGGGGCTGGAGAGCTCCAGGGTGGGAGCAGCCCAGTGTCCGTGTCCTCTCCAGAGCAGGGAAGCAGCACTGGCGCTGCAGCAGCCACACTGGGAAGTGTTTTTCCCTTTGACATTGCAGCAAATGAGGAGACAAGAGCTGTGTGGAGCCTGGGGCATGCACCACTCTGTACAGGGCTTGGCTGGGGGAAAGGCTGTGAAGGGTCAGCTACTGATGGGAATGTGACTTGTGGGGCTCAGAGCATAGCTAGGGTCTCAGCAAGGTCAGTGATGCCTTCCCAGCAGTGCTTCTCCCTGGCAGGTGGATTAGCTCAGGGCTGTTGCAGGTGATGGAGTCCCTGTGCCTGGGAAAACCAAAGTCATATATTGAGGAAGGTTTTGCCCAGAGGTTTTCAAAGATCCGTTGTTTTATTTCCTAGTGCTGGGCTTTGACAAAGTTCCTCTGTGGGGTATCCTCCTAATTTCGGCGGGGAGTGCTGTTGTCTGTGCTCTCGTCGTCTGGTTCTTTGTATGTCCGAGAATGAAGAAGAAAATCGACCGTAAGTACCACATCCCTCTGCAATCCTCGGGGAAGGGCACGCTCTGGCTAACCCACTTCTCTTCCCAGTGGGAGATCCCATTAGCTGTGGGGCTGTTATTAACAGAATCCTCCTCTTCACTCGGGGATTAACCTGCTCTGAGTCACTGGGGCACTCAGCGTGCTGGGCTCTGCCTGCTCCTAACCCAGGCACCCAGACCCCCCCCAGGAGCAGCTGTTGTGCTGCTGAGCAGTGTCTGGGGCTGATTGATCTGCAGGGTGGTCTCTCCTGGAGCTGTGGGCAGTGTCAGACAGCTTGTCCCTCTCTATCAGAGGAGAGAGAAGGCAAGAGACAACGTGCCTGTTGTAATCTTTAATCTTCTCATACCTGCTGAGCAATCCTTGGCCTGGCTGATGCAGATCACAAGTTTAAAGCTGATGAAATCCTTCCCCTGTAGCAAAAAAACCCAAAACACTCTATTGAAAGGCATCCAAAGGATCAGCCTGGAGCTCTGCCTCCGGAGCAGTGCTTGGAACTGCATGTGGTCCTGAATATCAATGATGTGTGCAGGCTGGGGCCTTGGGAGTTGGTGATGAGGGGATGTCCTTGTTGTGCTGGTGTAATTGGGGTGTGACTAACAGCTTTATGGCTGCTCTTGACAATCCTCCAGCTGTTTAACTTAACTCCTGCCCATGAGGTGAGGTGGGCTCTTCTGCCTGTCAGGCATACTATGCTCCCTGCCTGCCCACAGCATCCCTGGGAGGAGGTGGGCATGCAGGGGGAGACAGCTCTGCTGGGACTGGATGCCAGGATGGAGGGTTGATGCCACAACCCAGCCCTTGAGGCAAACAAAGTGACAGGGAAATGGTCATGTTTATGACAAGAAGGTGGTTTTGGTTGTTGTCTGAAGGAGCTGACCTCATGTTTTCACCTGGAGAAAACATGCTTTTACTGTTAGAGGCGGAGGAACAGCCTCAGGTTCCACAGCTTGGTGCTGCTGGTTTGGCTGCCTAGGGTGGACAGGAAACCAGGCTGCCTTTGGGGGGTGGAGACCAGCTCCTGTTTGGGTTTGTTGTCCAGCAGTGGAAGCTGGAGAGGAGCCCAGGCTGGAGCTGCTGGGCTGGTAGAGGAGCTGGGCTCTTCTGGGCGCCTCTGTCAGCTTCAGGGGTCATAGCCGCTCCAGAAGTGGGTCCAGAGCATCCCACTGCCCACGGGGATGGGACAAACATGGCCCAAAGAGGAACCTCTGCACTAGACATTACCAACATAAAAGCCCCATAATGGTGTTCACCACACCCCGTGTGGGTGGGGGTGTCTAAAAATAGGGGATGAGCTGGCATAGATGGTTTGGCTGTTGTGCCCGGGACAAGGTGTGACTGTCCAGCAGTTTCCAAAGTTCAGGATGTGGAGGAGCTGTAAATTTTATTTGGCTGCCATAAATCTGAGTGGCAAGGGGTGTGGGCTTGCTGCTGGCATTGGGCGCAAGGGTGGAAAGGGGTTTGATGGTGGCTGCCCTTCTTTGCAGGAGAGATAAAATCAAGTCCTTCTGAAAGCCCCTTGATGGAGAAGAATGCTTGCCCAAAGGAGGAGCAAGAGGAGGCCAAAATGCCCTTGGAAGATGCCAAGGGCCCCGCTGCTGATGCAGGGTCAACCGCGCCCCCTCGGGCAGCGGGGGAGGAGAGGATGGTCTCCTTCAACCTGGGGGAGCTGGAGGAGGCCCCAGAGCAGGAGAGGCTTCCCAGCCTTGACCTGAAGGAAACAAGCATTGACAGTGGTGAGTAGCAGGGGGTGATTGGGGTGCTGAGACTCCCCCAGCCCAGGCACCCCTTGGTGCTAACCCCGCTGTCCCCCCTGGCAGGAGCTGTGCGGCTGCCCAACGGCAACCTGGTCCACCTGAGCCAGGCAGTGGGCCACCAGCTGGGCTCAGGGGGGCAGTACCAGTACCACACTGTGCACAAGGACTCCGGCCTCTACAAGGAGCTGCTGCACAAGCTGCACCTGGCCAAGATGGGGGACTGCATGGGGGACTCGGGGGACAAGCCCCTGCGGCGCAATAACAGCTATACCTCCTACACCATGGCCATCTGTGGCATGCCCCTGGACTCTCTGCGGGCCAGGGACGTCGAGGAGGGGGAGAAGCTCAGCTGGTCTGTGGTGGACACGAAGAAGAGGGTCCGCATGGACAGCTACACCAGCTACTGCAACGCAGTGGCGGATGCACACCCGGCTGCTGATGTGGACCTGAACACAGCCCAGGCAGAGCTGGGGGCCGCTGACCGCAAGGGTAGCACCGGCTCCCTGGAAGAGTGGCACGAGCAGGACAAGCCTGAGGTGTCTCTGCTCTTCCAGTTCTTGCAGATCCTCACAGCCTGTTTTGGCTCCTTCGCTCATGGTGGCAATGATGTCAGGTCAGTGGCGTTGTGGGAGCCAGGGAGGCTGCTAGCTGGGGCTAGTGCTTACAGAATCATGGAACTACAAAATAGTTTGGGGTGGAAGCGACCTTAAATACCTTGTTCCAACCCCCTGCCATGGACATGTTCCTCTTGACCCAGTTGTTCCATGTGCCATCCAACCTGGCCTTGAACACTTCCAGGGATATTCTATCTTGCCAAGAGCCTCTGGCCCTCTAGACCAGTTCCTCTTTCTCTTCCAGCAATGCCATTGGGCCCCTGGTTGCACTCTTCCTGGTCTATCAGACGGGCGATGTGGCTACTAAGGTGGCAACTCCCATCTGGCTGCTTCTCTATGGGGGTGCAGGGATTTGCATTGGCTTGTGGGTCTGGGGAAGGAGAGTCATCCAGACGATGGGGAAGGACCTGACTCCCATCACACCATCCAGGTAAGGGCTACCATGGAGCAGAGGGGAGGCTCAGTGAGGCCTGAGAGCTGCGTTCTGCTCCAGGAGCCCCTCTCCATTCTCTCCTGGGGGTTTCAGTGGTGGAGCTGGGGTGTGTGTGGCTCCAGCACCTTGCTGCATCCTGGGGGGTTCATCCGGGGGCTGCAGAGCCAAGCTGTGCTGCCTTGAGCTGAGCCCACGGTGTTTTGGGGTATCCCGTGCCCCTATTCTGATCTGCTCTCTGTCCCTGCAGCGGCTTCAGCATCGAGCTGGCCTCAGCGCTGACGGTGGTCATTGCCTCCAACGTTGGCCTCCCAATCAGCACAACCCACTGCAAGGTAGGAGGGCTACCAGGGGCACGGCTTTGGCTCTGTGTGAGCGCAGAGTTCCCAGCTCTTGGTGCTCACAGGGCTGAGCTGTGTGGGAGGCCCCACTCTGGGCCACTGGCCACTGTCAGCTCCCAGCTCCGCTGCTTGCATCTCAATGTGGGGTGGCAGCAGCTGCCCAGCCTCGGGGTGGGCCCCTGGGGCACTTGGGAGGTGATGGCAGAACAAAACCCCTTTCATGATCCCCTAAGCTCTGCCAAGAGGCCATGGGAACCCGAGTGCTGCGGGATCCTGGTCCTGTCACCCCTCTGGGCTGGCAGCTCCTTGCCCTGCACTCCCTGCCTGCGCTCTGTGTAGTGCCCATAGGCCGGGGCAGGACCCAGGGCTCTGCCTGAGAGGTGGAGGAGTGCGTGTTTGAGGGGTGCAGAGGGCTGCTCTGGTGCTGAACGTGCCCCGGCTCCTCGTGCAGGTGGGCTCAGTCGTCTCAGTGGGCTGGCTGCGCTCCAGGAAGGCGGTGGACTGGCGCCTCTTCCGAAACATCTTCATGGCCTGGTTCGTCACCGTCCCCATCTCCGGCCTCATCAGCGCTGCCATCATGGCTGTCTTCAAGTTTGCTGTCCTGTGAGGGCACCAGGGTCCCACTGCTCCTGCTTCCCACTGCTGTCCTCCCTCGAGGAGCCACCGAGGCTGCCTGCTGTGGGGTGGCAGCTGCGCCCATCTGCGCATAGTGCTGTCACTGAAGTACTGAAGTATCTTTTTTTTTTTTTTTAATATAACTGTCTTGGCGCTAACATTGTGGGGGTGCACTGCCAGGGCTGTATGTGCCCCCAGGTGACCCCCCGATCTGCTGTAGCTGTAGATAAGCAGTTACTGGGGGCCACTTTCTCACTTCTGCCGATCCCCTGGCAGTGATTTTTGGGGGAAGGACAGAGGTTGGTCCTTGCCTGCCCTGGAACAAAGGGCCGGGGAGTCGTGGGGTGCCCCTCTCGCAGGCTGTGCAGTGTTCAGCTTTGCCTCCATTGCGTAGTGCTGTGGACACCATCCTGCTCGGGGGCCCTGGGGGCTGCCCTCTGGCCCCCTGTCACTGCTGCTACCTCGGACTTAATAAAGATTTCCTTCGTATGCCAGTGCTGCCTGTGTTTCTGGGGATTTTGGACACGGCAGGGGCCCCAACTGATGCCCCACAGCCCTCGCTGCCTTGGCCCTGAGCCCCAGGAGGGAGCTGGGGACAGAGATAAGCGCCCCACGTGCCGCCTGTATCACGGGAGGGGCTGTAAACAGCCCTGCGCTGGGGTTATCGGGGCCCTGCACCTGGGGGCGGCTCCAGCCCGCTGTGGGGAGATGTGTGGCTGTGTGTCCGGCCTTATCCGTGCCTCACAGCCCTGGCTCAGCAGCTGCTCCGCGGCCCCTCCATGTGCCGTGGGCTGCTCCCTCATGCCTGGGTCAAGGCCGGGCCGGGCCCCGCGTCAGCGGCCCCGGGGTGTCGCAAGAGACCCGGCGGGGGCAGCCGGGAGAGGGGCCGGGGCCTTGGGCACACGAAGGTTTCGGGAGGCTCTGAGTGGGGCCGTGAGGGAGCCCCGGGCGGGGACAGCACACGAAGGGTTCGGGAGATGCCGTGTGGGGCCGTGAAGCAGCCCCGGGCGGGGGCTTGCGGTGTCTCCCGGGCCGAACGTGCCCCATCCTCCCGATCCCCCCGAGTGAGGCCGGGGCGGCTCCACGGTGCCCTCGGGGCGGCTCTGGGGCGGCGGCGAGGCCGGGCCCTGACCCCAGTTAATGATTCGCCGCTGGGCAAACAGGGCCCGGGGCTGCGGGCCCGGCCGGGGGGCGCGGGGGCAGCGAGCCCCGGTGAGGGGGCGCGGGGAGCGCTCCCCGTGTGAGGGGCACAGGCGGGAAGGGGTGTCCGTACCCCGGGGGAAGCACGGGGGAACGGCTGCCCCGGCCGGGGGTCACAGCCCCGGGGTGCCCCGGCCCCGTGCCGGCTGTGCCGCCCGAGGCGGGGCCGGGGGGGCGGTTCCGCAGGGCCCAGTTAAAGCGGCGGCGGCCCGAGGCGGCGGCGGAGGCGGTGGCGATGGGCAGCGAGGGCCAACGGGGCCCGGCTGCGGCCCGGGGCCCCGGGCAGGGCGACCCCCGGGCCCTGCGGAGGGACTGCCAGCACCGGTGGGCTGGGGACCGCGGGGGCACTGCGAGCACCGGGGGTAGCAGGAGCGGGGATGCGGGGCGAGGGCTGCGGGAGGACAGGTGGGGAAGGGAGCGGGACCCCGAGCAAGGGCCCCGGGCCTCAGGTACGGGACCCTTGTCGCAGCGGGAGGGGGCAGAGGCCCTGGGTGCCATGTCGACATGCCGGGGTGGGAGCAGGTCCGAATAGGGGCTTACTGTCCCCCCTCTCTCTTCCAGTTCCATTTCCAGCTCCACAGCCCGTTTTTCTGCTCCAATAATTTGCTGTGGGGGCCCTGGGCAGGGATGAGCGCACAACCCTCCCAGAGCACTGACCAGGCACTGGGATAGGGAAACACGACCCCATCTCTTCCTCTGTGCCACCCCCAGCCCTAAACCTCTCCTCACCTCATAACTCCCCCCGTGGTCTCCCCCAGGATCTTCGTCAACCGGAGCCTGGCGCTGGAGAAGATCAAGTGCTTTGGCTTTGACATGGACTACACCTTGGCTAGTGCGTTTTTTGTGGGCCCTAAGGCAGGGTGGGGCAGTGGTGGCATTCCCCCAGCCCCTGCCCACATCCCCCTTTCCCCCCTGCAGTGTACAAGTCCCCTGACTACGAGGAGCTGGCCTTCGCTCTGCTGCTGGAGCACCTTGTTGCCATCGGGTACCCTCCTGAGATCCTGGCCTACAAATATGACCCCAGCTTCCCCACCCGGTCAGTTTGTGGAGCGGGTCCCAGGGACGGGAGGGGAGGGGAAGGCAGCCCCCCAGCACTGACAGATGTGTGGTGCAGGGGGCTGGTGTTCGATGCCCTGTACGGGAACCTGCTGAAGGTGGATTCCCACGGGAACCTGCTGGTCTGTGCCCATGGCTTCCGTTTCCTCAAGGGGTGAGTCTGGGAATTCACCATCCCTGGGGCAGGGGGAAGTTGGAGGTCCCTCAGGGTGGAGTGCAGCTCCGTGCTCCCTCCCCAGAGCCGAAATCCTTCACTATTACCCCAACAAGTTCATCCAGCGGGATGACATGAAGCGCTTCCACATCCTCAACACCCTCTTCAACCTCACAGGTGAGTGAGAACCCCCATTGTCCTGGCCCTCCCACCACCCTGGGGTGCTATCCTGCCCTGCACCCCTTCTCACGGCCCCCTCCCTCACAGAGGCCCACCTCTATGCCTGTCTCGTGGACTTCTTCACCAACTGCTCCAGATATGTCAAGTAAGAGGGAGGTGGTGGGTGGGGGCTTGGTGTTGGATCAGACAGGTGTAGATCTTGGGGGGAGCTTCCCTTAGCAGGGCAGCCCTTTCACATTCCCTTCCTGCCTGTTGCAGCTGTGACACTGGCTACAAGCACGGGAACCTCTTCATGTCCTTCCGCAGCATGTTCCAGGATGTGCGCGAGGCCATGGACCACGTCCACCTCTCTGTGGGTGCAGGGGGCAGGGGGCTGGGGCTGGCGGGTGCTGGCAGTGCTGGGGTTTTCCCACACACACCCCCTGGGAGGTTTTGGCCAGCCCCACCCCATTCCTCCTGCAGGGCTGCCTCAAGGAGAAGACGCTGGAGAACCTGGAGAAATATGTGGTGAAGGATGTGAGTTGTACAGACCCCAGGGACCCCTCCCCTCTCTGCTCTCCTGTCAATTCCTCGTGGGACTCCCACGCTTCCCCCCACTGACTTGCCCCTCACTAGCCCCGTGTGCCGCTGCTGCTGAGCCGCATGAAGGAGGTGGGGAAGGTCTTCCTGGCCACCAACAGTGACTACACCTACACTGATGTGAGTAGGGGTGTCCCTGTCCCCCACCTGCGTGGATAACTGCCCTGCATGGTCCCCCTTGCCCTGCATGGGGGAGGCAGAGGGGCTGGGTTGAAGCACAGGCAGGGTCTGCCTTGCCTGGGGGCAGCAGTGATGATGCCAGATGTCCTTGCAGGCCATCATGTCCTACCTGTTTGACTTCAGCAATGAGGACAAGGTGAGTGTGTCCCCATTATGGGCTGGCTGGGTATTATAGCAGCAGGCCCCTGAACAGGGTAATAATTAGCATTGGCTCCATGGTTCCAGAAGGCTGATCAATCACTTTATTATACTATACTATATTATACTATTAGAAAACCCATCACCCTTCCAGACAGTCCAGACAGTCCGATACAGCTTTTTCCAGATTAGGCCATTGAATCCAAACACCATCACCATTAGCCAGTTAAGAAATCACCCCTTGGTGAACAAATCTCCATAGCACATTCCACATGTTCACAACAGCAGGTGCAGCAAGTGAAGATAAGAACTGTTGATCATTCTTTTCTCTGATCTTCTCACAGCCTCCCCCAGCACAGTGCCTGGGAAAGCTGTGCCTGCTGCTCTCCATGGAGAGAGCTGCAGCCACAGGTGGAGGGCACAGCGTGCCATCAGCACCCTCCTCCTGACCCCCTCCCTGTCCACAGGCTGACATCCCACGGCGGCCCTGGAGGTCCTACTTCGACCTGATTGTGGTGGACACCCGCAAGCCCCTCTTCTTTGCTGAGGGCACTGTCCTGCGCCAAGTGGACACGGTGGGCACCTCTCCCCTGCTGCAGGGCTGGGGGGGTGGGCACTGGTTGGGCCCTGAGGGGGCTCCTGTGGGCACAGCAAGGTGGGTTCACGGCCGATTGGCCGCCAAGCTGGCAGAGGTGACAGTGTCCCCATCCTGGGGTGCTCTTGTCCTGCAGGACACGGGGAAGCTGCGCATTGGGACGTACACGGGCCCCCTGCAGCACTGTGCTGTGTACTCTGGTGGTAAGCACCCAGCTGGGCTCTCTGGGCTCTGTAGGCAGCAAGGGGGACGTGCCTACCCCCCACCCTGACCCCTGGGTGTCACAGGCTCCTCGGATGTGGTGTGTGACCTCCTGGGTGTGAAGGGCAAGGACATCCTCTACATGGGGGACCACATCTTCGGGGACATCCTGAAATCCAAGAAGCGGCAGGGCTGGCGCACCTTCCTGGTGGTGCCTGAGCTGGCCCGAGAGCTGCAGGTCTGGACAGAGAAGAGTGGTGAGCAGTGCTGGGCTGTGGACACTGACTTTACCATGCAAGGGGAGGTGTCTGGAGCCTCCTACACCCCTGGATAGTAAAACTGCCTCAGTGGGCCATGCCCTGATGCTCTGTTGGTCGTGCTGGGCAGTGGGTGATGCCCCTGCACTGAGCTGGCCCTGTTGCCCTTGCAGAGCTCTTTGAGGAGCTGCGGAGCCTGGATCTCTTCCTGGCCGAGCTGTACCAGTGAGTTGGTTGGGGTGGGAGACAGGCAGGGGTGGGAGCACACCCTCCAGGTGAGCCCTTAGCTGGGTCTGTTCCGTTCCAGGCACTTGGACAGTGGCAGCAGTGAGCGCCCAGACATCAGCTCCATCAAGCGCCGGATCCAGGTGACACCCAGGGCACTGTGCCTGCTGGCACACAGCTTAGCTCACCCCCCTGCCACAAATTCCTCTGTGGAGGGCCCCCCAGGAGCTGCCGGGTGCCCTGACCTTCCTGCTGCACCCACAGAAAGTCACACATGAGATGGACATGTGCTATGGGAAGATGGGCAGCCTGTTCCGCTGTGGCTCGCGTCAGACACTCTTTGCCAACCAGCTGATGCGCTACGCAGACCTCTACGCTGCCTCCTTCATCAACTTCCTCTATTACCCCTTCAGCTACCTCTTCCGGGCTCCCCCTGTCCTGGTAGGCAGCCCCGAGGCCCTGCTGATCACCCACTGTGCCTCAGTTTCCCTCCCTGCCTGAGCGGGCATGGGGCTGGTGCCAGCCTCTCTCTGTGAGCCTTGTCACCCCCCGCAGATGGCTCATGAGTCAACAGTGGAGCACTCTCACCGGGACTCAGGGGATGCTGGCACTGCCCTTCCTCCCTGGCTGGCCCAGCATGGTGACCCTCACCAGCAGGTGGGTGGCAGGAAGGACATGGGCATCCTGCCACGCTGATGCCCTTGGGGTCCTGTGCCCACTGAGCCCCTTCTGCACTGCCTCAGGTCCCCCAGGACTCAAGTGGGGAGGAGGAAGATGATGGAGAAGCCTGAGCACGCCCCAACTGCCATGCTGCCCACGGGAGGACATTCAGTGGCCCTGGACCACTTGCGCTCATGGCCAGCTGCCACCTCTGGTGGCCACAGGATGGCTGGTGGCCCTGACTTCTGGTCCCTGTCACATCTGTCCCCTGTCCCTGGGCAGTTGGGACCTTCTCCTGACTCTGCCCAGAGCCAGGAGAGGCTCCCCCCCCAAGTCTGCTAGCTCCTGCCCCTTTAATTCATATCTGCCTGTTGCCCCTTGAACTCATTCCTCTCCCACCAGCTCAGTGCCAGTCTGGGGGCACCCAGCACCAGGGTGAACAGGCAGTGCCACTGCTGCAGCATCCCTGGCAGCCCCACTGCAGCAGTTGGGCTCCAAGCAGCTAAAGCCCCCTGCCCCTTTAGCCTCTGGGCCTGGCCATGAGCACCACAGTGCTGGGTGGATGGGGTGGGGCTCTGCAGGTGACACCTGCTCCAGGGGAAGCCCCTGCACCTGCTGTTTCTCTTTTCTTCTTTCTACCCTTTTCTATTTATAAAACATCCTCAAAACTCCTGGCACTGCAGAGACATAAAATTGGTTTTAAAGGAAAACTGTTTTGTCCCTGCACCTGAGAGCTGGGGGCAAAGGGCAGTCCCCCAGTCCTCATCCAGCAGCTGGGGCAAGCACAAGCCCCTAGGGAGAAGGTGGCAGCCCCGAGCTATCCCCAGCTCTGAAGAGGGGCCAGGCCAGCAGCACTCCACAGAGCAGAGCCACCCCATGCCAGAACTGCTCTGAGACTTCTGCCCGCATCCCTGGCTGAGTGGAGATGCTGAGCCAAGGCTGGGGTTGGGAGAGAGGAGGAGAAGAGCGTGATGGGGCCAGGAGCACTGCCTGCTGGGGCCGGGTGGGTGACAGCAGGGCTCCCCCACCTTCCACAGCTGCAGTGTGGTCACTGTTCCCAGCAGAGAGCACCTGCCAGTGTGGGAAGATGGGTTGGAGAATAGAGAATAGAGACAGTGCTGAAGGCAATCACGCCCCTGACAAGTTGCAGCTGTACTAATTACCAAAGAGTAGGAACAGGCCTGCCCTTAATTGGCCGCAGCTGTGTCCAATAAGGGTGACTGTTAAAAAAGAGTAGGTTAGCTAGTTGAGAGGAGAGTTGGAGTTTATTAGCTGTGCTGAAGGACAGGAAGGAGTCAGCTAGCCATGCAGAAGAAAGAGAAAAGGAGTCATCGTTGTGAGGAGCTGCCCGTGGGAGATCACAGAGAGAGGGTAGGAAAGTTTTACAGTAAGATAACAAAGTGGCAATGACAGTTTCCATGCACCGTGGTTGGTGCCAAGCACCAACAAGGGTGGCCGGGATGGGGATGGGTCCCAACATGCCAATCCCTTCGCCAGTCTCTTGCTCCTGCCTGCTCCAAGTGCAGGGACGGCACCAGTAGGGGCCTGAGTGCAGTTACAGGGCTCATCAGTCCCCAGACCCCAACTGTGTCTGGGAGTTGGTGCCTGGCCTGCTGCACCCCAAGGTCCTCCTCAACCCTTGGTGCTGCAGCCAGTCTCTGCACAGAAGCTGCTGGGGGCACTGCAGGGCCCCCAGCTCCTCAGGCAGAGCCATTGTCACCACCTGTGCCTCAGACACGGGGGCTGCAGATATCCCTCTCAGGAGGGGCCATACAGGTGTGTCCAGGTAGGGCACAGGGCAGTTCCAGAGCAAATCGCTCAGGACGTTGCTTCCAGACACTGGGAGGTGCCTGCAACATTGCAATCCAACTGAGAGCATTCTGCAGCAGGAGAACCAGAGTGTGTGTCATGGCAGGGGAGCTGAGGGCACTCCTGGGGGACACAATCCCAGGAGACACAGCTGCTGTCTCCACACCACTCACTAGCCCACACACATCTCCACTGTGAAGTTCCATATTTAAACCTGCATTTAGATATTTAAAAACACACTCTTCTTGCATGTACTGAATTGGTGGGAGAGGTGTGGTAATCACATACAATCTGAACAGAGATTATAACTCCCCAGGAGTTTCCTGGGAAGCTGTGAGAAAACTTAGATAAAATAATTAAAAGAATTATTATCTCTCTTTCTGCACATGTTGTTTACAGATACAATTTTCCAGAGTGTGCTATTCCTAATTCACCACTAGTGTGAGAGGTTTTTACTCCAGAACCAATCCAGCCTTGGTTTAGCGAGTCGGGTTATAAAAGCCGCACCGTTCCCGCCATCCAGCGCCTCGGATTATGATATTCCACCTCTGCCGAGCGGAGTCTCTGCTCCGTCCCTGACTCAACGGCGAGCCCTGCAGAGCCCGCGTGGAACCGCAGCATGGCCCGAGCCGCGCGGCCCCGCCGCCCTTCGCCACCGGACGCCTCTCGCCCTCCGGAGTGAGGTAACGCTGACTGTGCCCCGCGCCGTTTGTCCCCTTGGGATCGCGGGCATTGACCCCGGGAGGCCGAGAACTGAGTAAGGGATGGGTTTTCCCAACACAGCAGACTGTCTCTTGGAGTGGGAGCCTGCTGAGGAATGGGTTTTCCTTAAAAACGGGGAAGCAACATTCCACAGATGAACAGGCAGTTGTTTCTATGTGGAGGAATCTGATAACTCTCATGAGACTCCCTGTCTCTGATCAAGCACTTTGCGATCCTTTATTTTGGGCCAAAATCACGGATCCGTGGCTCAATGGAGATGCTGAGCCAAGGCTGAGGTTGGGAGAGGGAGAGAGGAGGAGAAGAGCATGATGGGGCCAGGAGCGCTGCCTGCTGGGGCCGGGTGGGTGACAGCAGGGCTCCCCCACCTTCCACAGCTGCAGTGTGGTCACTGCTCCCAGCACCTGCCAATCCCCTTGCCAGTCTCTTGCCTGGTACCTTGTGCTGCTGCCTGCTCCAAGTGTAGGCACGCACATCTCCACTGCAAAGTTTAATAAACATGCATTTATTATTTAAAACAAAATTTAGATATTTGATACATACTTATTCTGTGCCAAACCCTCCCCCCTACATCTGAGGGGCAGCAAGAGCAGTCAGGGGAATGTGTACAAGGCAGCCTGCTCCTGCTGGGAACCCTCAGGGGCTCTTGGGGGGATATGAACTCAAGCCCTCCAGCTCTGTCACTTCTGGTAAAGCTTTGTTTTTCCGGAAGAAGAAGAGAGTCCCCTCCTCAGCATCCAGGATTTCCAGGATTTCACTGAGGGATGACACCACAGGGTCATGGTCCTTTAGCATCTCTGGGTAGCGACTCCGAGCCCTCTCAGTCCGCAGGGAGCGCCGGACGGGTGTTAGAAATTTCAATTCTGGGCCTTCCAGGAATTCCCTTCCTCTGTGGAGAGAAGAGCCTTGGGTAAACCCTGCAGAGGACCACTGGCATGGAAGGGTGTGTGCTGCCAGGAGCAGGAGGTTCAGGCTTACCTGGATGCAGATGTAACCTGTAACTTGACTGAGGGGGGGAGGGAGGTCATGCACCTCCCCACCAGGCCTGGAGTTGATGCTATGGGATGCCTCTCAGCTGGACAAGGTGTGGTAGGCTCCCGAGGAGTGGGTTCCTCTGCCTTTTCTCCTGGCACAAAAGGAAAAGGGCAGCACAGTTGCAGCACTGGCTATGGATTACACCTCGTCACTCTGGACAGGGGCAGGGTGCCTGCCTGCAGAGGCTTGCAGGGCCAGGACCCTCCCTAGCCCAGGCAGAAGAACAGTGTCCCATTTTTCAGATCAGGATTCCAGACTTTCACCACACTCCTTAGGAGGGACACGAGGTGCTGGGACAGACTGTAAACTGTGTTGTCTCCAGGCTGGCAACAGCAGGGAGCACCCCTGCCCATACTCATCAACCCCACAATGCTCAGGTTACCTTCCAGTTTTTGGCCTGCATCCTTCAAAATATTGAAAGCAGTTTGTCTGAGCTCTTCGACTGGCTGCAGGAAAAGCAGAACATGGGTCAGGGCAGGTCTGGCATGGGAATGGCGTCGTGGTTTGACAGGAAGTAGGTTTTCTGGGATATGCTGTGGTCACCAATAGGTCTTCAGATTTTAATATTGGCACTTGGTGTGGCCACTGGATACGCCTCTGAGAACACAGGGGTTAAAAGCAGAGCACTCCCGGGGGAAGCTCTCTTGGGTTTCTGGCAGGGAAGAGTTCCGATCTCTCTCCCGGCCCAGCTGCTGGCTGGGCGGGCGGAGGGGAAAAGCCATGCGGCGGGAGAGGTAGGCCTGACCCCGGGGGTGGAAGAGAGAGGGACACCGGGAGCCATCGGGCAGGCCCCCTTCCCCCTTGGGAGACAGAGAGAGAGTACAGCCTGTGCTTGTGACTGTGTTACCTTGAAACTTGATAAACATGTGCTGGCAGCACAGCTGAGAAGGAGAAGAAGGGGGGTGCAGTGAGAAGGTGCTTGGCCGCTTGTGGGAGCTTTTAACCCCTTTTTGGACAATGAAAACTTTACAGAACATTAACCTCTCCTAGAAGAGAGACAGAGTGGAAGATGAAGAAGAAAATGGGCAAGTGTGATGAAGGTCTGGGCAAGTGAGAGATGTGGGAAGAGATGATGGAGTGGCTTTTGCTGGACTCTTTTTGTATAGGCATGGACAGAACCACGTTTCCTTGGGATACAGAGACTGCATCTAGGAGGAGGCAATGCCTCAGAACCAAGATGGTTCAGTGTTGGCACTCCTCGCCCCCAGGGGGTGAAATTTGGGGGGGGGACAGGTGTCCCAAAGGAGAGACTGTGCCCTTTGGATCGCAACAAAGCATCCTTAAAAAGACGACCCTAGAAGCAGTTCTGGTCCATGTGCAGTGGTGAGAGCACTGGACATGAAGGGAAGAAGTTTTCTTTATTTCTAAGTGGGAGCCTGCTTTGCTTATTCCTGGTCACATCTCACAGCAAAAACCAGGGAGAGTGTATTTTCATGGGGGGCACTGGCATTACACCAGTGTCAAACCATGACAAATGGAGACAAGAGTTAGAGATGAATGGGAGGAAAGGCTTTTGCTGCTCAGCCTGTGCTGAGGACAGGATGAGGCTGCAGTATTCCCCTTTGCCCAGTGGGATCCATCAGCACCCAGCACAGCTGGCCAGGTGCCCACCCTGCATGGGCACATCCTGCAGCATGGAATGGGACTGGCAGCTCTAAATTACTTTTTCACCAGTGACTAATGCTGCTAAACTCATTCTAAAACCCGGCCCCTGGATCTTGTGGAAGCCTTCCAGAGCAGAGGCAGGAAACAGTCACCTCAGCCCCAGCGCTGACTGCTTCTCTGTACAGCTGCAACACATCAAAGGGGCCATCTGGGCCAGCAGCTTTGCTTGGCAGAACCAGAATTTGGCAAATTTCTCTGCCTGGAGCACAAGGGACAGCACTGTTGAGATCTCCTCTGCATGGACACCCTGCAAGAAGGGTAAGGGTCTGAAGAAAAGGTGTCCATGGCATGGATGAGTGTGTGCACCAGGAAGCAGACCGTGCCTGACCACAGCTCACAGCACTCTCCAGGAGGAGGCCCTCAAAAGTCTGGGTTTGCAAATCTCCTACATAATTGTGGCAGATAAAAACTGCCCTGCCTCTATCTTCCCCTTGGATAATTTGGTCTAGTATTCCAGAGGGGTGTCAAAGGATAGACTCCAGTGCTGGCATAATTGGGGCCAGTAAACCCTGGAGCAGGGCTAGAAGTCAGTGTTGGTCTGGTCTCTCCCTTCTCCCACTCAGCACAGCTCACTGCCTGCCTTTGGCCTACCCATAACTTTATGAGCACTTGTATTTTCCTATGTTTCCCCTCTTGCCACTGAACACTTGTTCCCAACCCCTCTTAGCTACTGGAGGGACATGGCCCTCATCCCCTGGCATGCTTCAGGAAAGGAGAAGCTCATTCAAGCGGCTCCTTCCCTATTCTCACCGCCTCAATGAGCTTCGGGCACTCAGTTAATACGTTGTTTATCTCGACTTGGCAGTGCCGCTCTGGATTCTCTTGTTTCTCTGTTGGCTTGACCTTTCTGCAGGATGGTATCACCGCCTGCTTCTGAAGCAGAATCATCGGCGGCCGCTTGTATGTCCTGCCTTTGGCTGCCAACCACTCCTCCAGCTGTTTCCTGTCCAAGGACAGAGAAATCACAGTTACCACAGCAGACAGTAGCCTGGCAAGAGCTGGCCGTTTTTCCTTGGAGTCTTCCTTTAGCCAACTTCAGCTGCTTAAAAAGAATCAGTATATCTATCTCAGAAACACACCTGAGCTCTAGACTGGGAGAGGAAATCACACTCTAGCCGAAGCCTTGAGGCTGAAGCAGGAGAGTGGCCACACACTCTCCTTGCACTTACTGAATTGGTGGGAGAGAAACTCAGGGTGCCACCCAACATTATCCCCAACCCCTTTTTCAGGGCATCAACCTCCCCACAAGCTTTTGCTCATAAAAGACTTTGCACTCCATTTCCAGCAGGATGGTGCTGGCTCACTCAGAGCTGCCCCTTACCTACGATCTGCAGCTGATGGAGTCCTTGGAACGGGCCTAGAGTGCATGCCACTTGCCTTCGGCAGCTCTGGTTTAAGCTGATCTCCTCTGCTTCTCAACTCATCCTCAAGGACATGAGTTTTGGAGTTGTGTATGCTGTGAGACTGGTTTTTGTGACCTGTCCCTTGGGATGCTGCCGTGTGTCCAGGAGCCACCACCTTCATGTCCTTCCTGTCCGTTACCTCTTTAACCGTGGGCCTTGGCCGTGGTAAAGTGACACCTGGGTTCAGATTTGATTTCAGGTTTGTGGTCCCCTGGGGCTTGCCCAAGGTGGGAGGCTTGGTGGGAAATCTTCTCACTGGGGGAGGCTGGCTGTGCTGCTTAAGACTTCCCCCTGCTGTTGTGCCAGGTTGCCTCACAGCAGTACTTTCTCCTTGCTTTGTCCCTGGGTTTTTATGCATCAAATTAGAAGAAGCAGGAAGGGACCGAGAGGGCTGCAATGGCTGAGTTCTGTTATTTGTATTTTGTGACATGCTCCTTGATTCTGGCAGGGCTTTCCTGAATTTATCCAGAGCTGGCTCTTCCTTAGCCTGGTGGTTATATAAAAGAAACACACAAAACTCAGGATGAAAACCTTCCAAACATTCCTCCTCCCAAGTTCCCAATGCATCCCAGTAAGACAAAACCTTGGAATCTCAATTCAGTTGCCACCCCTCAGATCACTAACTCTCAGTCCATCACCACCCTTCAGATAATCAATTCTCAGTTCATTAAGAGGAGAGGAGTCCTTCTTGTGCTGTAGGCTTCCCCAAGAAACACAGTTGAAACTTTCTGTGTTTCCATGTCAGCTGTGGCACTGCCCGGAGAACATCTGCCATCCTGACATCTTCCTTCCATGTCCAGTGCTCTCACCACTGCACATGGACCAGAGCTGCTTCTAGGGTTTTCCTTTTAAGGGTGCTTTGTCCAGTTCCAAAAAGAGCACAATCTCTCCTTTGGGACACCTGTCCCCCCCAGATTTCACCCCCTGGGGCCGAGGGGTCTCAACACTGAACTCTCTTGGCTCTGAGCCATTGCCTCCCCCTGGATGCAGTCTCTGTGTCACAGGAAACATGGTTCTATCCATGGCTATACAAGAAAAGTCCAGCCAAAGGCCACTCCATCATCTCCTGCCACCTTCTCAACTTCTCTCGGACATCTTTCACTTGCACTAACTTGCATCACACTTGCTCATTTCCTGCTATTCATCCCTATCTCTCTTCTCATTCAGGAGGATCAGCATTTGTAAGGTTTCCATCATCCAAGAAAAGGGTTAAAAACCTCAGGCTCTGCCTGTCCAGAACTCCCACTGCTGCCCTGCTGAGCGCACCCCCCCTTCTCCTTCTCAGCCAGCCTGCTATCACATTTCAAGGTGGCACAGGCACCAGCTCTCTCTCTCTCTCTCCTGGGGGGGATGGCTGCCCAATAACTCTCCTATGTTCCTCCACCCTTCCATCCTCAAGGGCCTCTTCACCTCCCTTCTCTGTCCAAGGCCCGGCCTACCTCACCCGGCCGCATGGCTTCCCCTCCCCTGCCAGCCCGCAGCCGGGCAGGGCAGCTCTGAGCCTTTCCCTGACCGGAACCAAGAGAGCTTTCCTGGGAGTTCTTTGCTTTTAACCCCCTGTGTTCTCAGAGGCATATCCATGTCCTCAGTGGCCACACCAGGTGCCAATATTCAAATCTGAGCACCTATTGGTTTGACCACAGCATCCCAAAAAACTCACTTCCTCTCAAATTAAGACAGCTTTCTCACAGCTTCCCAGGAAAATTCTGGGAGAGTTACGCCTCTCTGTTAAGAGGATATGTGATTACCACATGACAAAGCAGCTGTCAACACAACAATAACACAACAGCCACCAGGACATGGGTAAAGGAGCAGTCTCCCAAACTGAAACTCCTAACTAAGCTAAACTCCTTTGAAAAACAGCTAGTTGACTCATTGCCAGCTATTTAGCAATCTGTGGTATGTCCCCCATTAGGAGTCAGGAACTCATGACCCTGATTTGGGGATGTGGTTTTCAAAGTAAGTTTTCTGAATTGCAGCCAGGATGAAAAATTATTATGACTAAAGTACATTCTCTTGTGACCCTATAAGCAGTGATCCTGAGTGAGACCTCTTGAGCTCTCTTGGACTGCTGTGGGCTGTGACCAGCATCTCCTGCTGAGTGGGGCTTCTCAGAGCCAGCAAACTCTCACATTTGCTGTACTTGGAGGAACATTTGTGTTCTGGTTTCAGATTGATTGATTTTAGATTTTAGCTTGCTTTTTCTCTATGTGCTTTAACCATCCAGTAAGCAGAGTGAAGCTTGACAATGAATTTTGTTGTGCTTTCTTTTAATATTAAACTTTTATATTAAACCTGCTTTTGCCTTTGCCAGTGATTCTTTAAGCAACCACTCAAAGCATGAAAGATTCAAAAGCTTCCTACTTACATGCTTGAGTTTAGAGACTGGTTCTAAGGATGGATTCAGGCGATTAGTCGAGTCCTTTAAAAAGGGTCTGTAAAAGTCCAATAAGTTATCAGGTTATTTAACAAATTATCAGGTTATTTATCAGCCATAAGAAAAGCAGAAAGAATTAAGTATCTAACCCACTGCTGGTTGTCTCAGACACAGGAGCTTAGGAGTAGCTTTCAGAAATCAAAAACCTGTCAAGGAATAGTACCACATACTATTAATTCTTTTTCTTTTGTGTGGCAACAGAAAAGCAACACAAGCCTGTTGCAGACATCTTTTTATGAAAATCCTTTTCTTGGGATTTTTTCTTCTTGAGAAGCTGAGAGGCACCAGGAACAAAATGTAAACAGTGGTTATCTGCTGCTGTGAAATGCAACAGGTGGATCCGTGATTGGTCTCGTGTGGATGTTTGGAATTAATGACCAGTCACGGCAAAGCTGGCGCTCTCTCTGTGGAGTGTGCCGGAATTTTCCCTCATCTGCCTCACGATTGTCATTGGGGGACCACTGAAGAGAAGACCCCCCCCATCTAGATTCTCTGGCTCTGAAGGAGAAAGTCACACGCCAAAGGCCCTGAGACCTGAAAGCACAGTGTTAAGCTATTTGTTTTCACAGGTGTTGTTTGCTGTATGCTAAGAAGGGAGCAACGTGCCCCATTTGCAACAATAGCTTTGGAAGCTGTCCCACCTCTCGGCCTGGCTGGACGTCTCCTGAGTTTTGGGTGGTCTCCCACAGAAGACCCTCACCTGTTTTACAAGGACCGTGACAGACAGACTGAGATGTGAGGAGCCTCTCCATCAAGGACTGAGAACGCCCCTCTCCTCCTTCCAAGGACTGGGACTGAACCCCCCAGCCCGGGGCAGGCGTGTGGGGGAGGCAAGCTGACCAAAGTGAGATGTTTGCCTGCAGGTTGTGACCACTGGACCAAGATAACAAAGGCTCTCGTTTACTGCTGAGAGCATGGACTACCTGTCACATCTATTCCTTATTGTATCGGTTTCCCCCCCCTCACAATTTTCAATAATAAAAACCTCTGAGTTAGCTAGAGACTTTGAGATCTCCCCAGCGTAACAGGCGGATCCTCGACTGGACTGGACCAAAGGACTTCATCTCTACGTTGGTAGCTATATCCCCCTCTCTCTTTCTCTATCTTTTTCTCTCCCTTAATCCCTCTATCTCATTTTTGCTGTGGTTATTTCAATAAAGCTGCAATTGTTTTGATTATCACTGCAAACCCCCTTGTACCGTGTCGGTTTTTTTGCACCCGGAGATCACTCCTATGAACCACCACGTTACCCATTCACTAGGACGGGTCGTGACATTAATTGGCGTCACGGACAGGATTCTGGTAGCCAGAGGGATTTGCAGGTGTTAAAAGGCAAATCTCATGCTCAATTGAGTGCTCTTGTCTCCGGAATTGGCACAAAAAATCTCTTGGTGCAAAACGGGGGTAACTGTTACTGTTGTATTTGTGTGTACCTGGACTGTCTAGGAAGGGACACCTGATGCAACCACACAGAGCCTCCTAGACAGATTCTGTCCCTCACGGCCAGGGGAGTGAGGGGCGGTGCAGCAAAGGCTGAGTGGCTTTCCCCTGCCGTAGGTTCTGGTCCCCTCACAAAGGAATCGTTTGTGTGCGTGTGTGCATGTGTATACACTTTCTGGGAAGGAAGAGACAAACCTGATGTAACCACACAGAGCCTCCCAGCAGATTCTGTCTCTTCAACTACCCAGGGAAGCAAGGGGACACAGGAAAGGCTGTGTGATTTGTGTAACTTAAGTTTACAATTAACTCCCTGGTGTAGCTTTGGTCCCCTCACAAAATTACTACAAACTTCAGTGCAAAAGGTAAAGCTGAATTTTATGCTTTGCTTACTAAATACAATGCCACACCTTCTCCAGGAGGAGAAGAATGGGCAAACTGCAATTGGTTTAACTTAGAAAATGTTATTGATAGAATATCTTCTTTGCAACATGAAACAAAATTCAAACTGGGCACAAATAAAACCATCCTCTGCTCAGTTTTGGGAGCCTGCCTCACAGCAGCCATAGAAACTCGCTTTAAGCAAAAAAGTGAGGAAAATGCTATAATAGACTCCCTCCAAAACCTAGTTGAAGTTTTGCAAAAACAATTAGATTAAGAAAGAAATGTAAATAATTCATCACGGGCTGCCCTGAGAGAGGAACATGTTAAAAATTCGCATAACTACAGACTGGTACTAAGGTGCTGTGGGGGCAGAGCCTAGACAGGAGCTGGTTCTTTGTACACAGGCCAGAGAAGGTAGACACTGGCCAGTGGGGAGAGCCAGCTATACCTCAGACTTTTACATATCATCTCATCCAAGCCCAACATCCTCCTAACTTACTTGGCACTTGAGCATTTCAGCCTTTCCTTGGCTACTTGACAGTTCTGCAGCTGGCTCCTCCGTTGTGCTGCAAAGAGATGGCAGGAAATGCAGGGCACACAGGACAGTCTCAGTACTCAAAGAACTCATGACACTGGATTTCTGTTACTTTCAAACACTACATGGCACACCTCTCGACCTCCCTGCCTGGGGAGCCTGGCAATGCTGTTCCCAGAAACTCCCTTGCACATGATAGTGCCCAGAGACTCGTTGCCACTTAAGCTTCCTGACCTTCACAGTATGATGCCACTCAACCCCTCAGCTGTGCAGGGCTCAGTTTGCAGAAGGAAAGGCTTCCACTGAGCCCAAGAGCAGCACGACCCTCCAGCACACTCCCACTCCTCCCAGACCGCGTCCCTCGGCCCGTTTTGTGGGCACCCGCCGCGGATTCACACATCATTACTCACACCGCCCGCCCTCAGCAGCTCCCCACCAGCCCATCTGTGCCGCCTCCAGTCCAGCGCTCCCACAGAACTCGGGCCTCCCCACAAGGTACCCGCCCCACGGGGTCCGCAGGTCCGCATAGCTCCGTTCTCCTCCGCCAGTACCGGGACCCCTCAGACCCCGCTCCCAGGCTCCTTCACCCGCCGCCCCGCTCCCTCGGACCCCGTTCCGAGGCTCCTTCACCCGCCGATCCCGCCGGCTCCATCCCGGGCGCCACCGCCGAACGACCACCGGCACTCCCGACAACTGCCGCGCCGCCGTTATTAGCCACCGCCTTCTTCAAAGCGACCAATGGGGAGCCAGGCGCCGGCCGTGGCTCCGTGATTGGCTGGGCAGGGTGGGCGGGGCCGGCCCGGGGCGCTGCCCGCGGTGACAGATGCCGCGCCGTGACGGGCCGTGTCGTGCCGCACCGGGCCGGGCCACGCCGTGCTGTTAGAAACGGAACACGCGCCCGGGACTAAAGGGATTTCAGCATTTATTATAATTTAAAACAAGGCCTAAAGCATGATGGCTTGCGGGCCGAGCAGGAGCGTTCCCGTCGAGGATGCTGCAGCCCCGGCGCTGGGTTTGTTTGAGCAGCGATGTCCCCGATGTTCCAGGTGGAGCGGCACGGATTCACTGGGTCAGATGCCCCTTTTTATCCTCTCTTTGTCCGTTTGGATTGGTTTCTGTTTGGATCCTTTATTTGCATGAAGGTTTAAGGCACTTGATTGGCCCATTACAGTTCTGTCCAGGCTGGCTCGTGGTGCACTTTACTGAGGTGTGTTATGGTACGGTGAGTACTATATTTCTTACAACTACCCTTTTAACCCCTTGTACAATATAATAACCAAACTAACAGCACATGCTTAACAATCTTATCAACTATTTACAAGAGTTTATAACCTATTTTTGACACTGCCATGGCATGGTGTGTGATGCTGTGCCACATCTGGCCGTGCCATGCCATGCCATGCTATGCCATGCCATGCCACATAATGCCATACCACGCCATGCAATGCCGTGCAATACCATGCAAGCACACCGTGCTATACTGCACCATGCTGTTCCACATGATAAGACATGGTGTGATGTGACATTGTATTATATAGTGCACCACATGATACTGTGTGATATCATGCCATGCCTTGTAATCCCACGCCACTCATTGTCCTGCTGCACTGTGGCCCACCATGCCATTTGCTGGCCATAGCTGGGGCAGAGGTGACAGTTTCAGGCAGCTGCCAGGGATCCACCATAGGATGCCCACCTCAGTCGCCTCCCAGCTGTGGTGTGGGCATGGAGACAGAGTGGTGGAGGGTCCTGAATGGGTCAGGGTGGTCCCTGGGCTGTGGGGTGGCTCCCCACGCCCTGGATTTTCACTCAAAAAGCAGCCAAAGCAGAAGGATTTTCTCATCTGTAACCCCATTCCCCACGAGCAATGAGGTGAGCCATGCTGTCCTAGAAAACTTTTTTTTTCCACCTCCATCCACATACAAGTTAAAAGCAAAAATGAATAAAGGGGCACAACAAGTAAGTACCAAAGCAATGGGCAGATACAATAAATAAATAAATTAATTAAAAAATATAGACTGGGATGGCTCAAGCCCATGGGGCCCAGAGCTGCTATTTCACATGAAATAGATGGGGAGGGGGGGTGTGTCCTGGGGGTTGTACTTAGTACATACAGCCTGAAAACCGGTGACTGCCGGTTGGGTTGGGTTGGTGCAGGGTCTTTAGCGCCCGCTCAGCTCGTAGGTAGCGATGTTCACCTGGTCTGGGGTGTTGGTGATGCCCACGGGCTGGCGGGGCTGCAGGGACGTGCAGACAAACCAGCCGGGGAAGGCGGCTGACTCGAAGCGTGTGGTCCCCTCAGCTGGGCTGTCCAGGCGGTAGAAGATGAAGCGGGTTAGCTCCACACTCTCAATATCCCTCCTGATGTCAGCTTCCTGCAGCCAGAGGGGTGAAATGGTGGTCAAGGTTGTCCATAGGTTGACTTTATGAGTTAAAAATTAAAAGTTCTCTCCAAAATTTGCCCTGAACCAAAACAAAGGTGGAATGGAGCCCCCAGCCCCACAGAGGACAGACTGCTGGGACCCCCTGCTCACCTCCAGCTGCAGCACGGGCTTGGTGCCACTCATCACACATGACATGTAGAGCTGGTAGCCCTTGATGCCCAAGGCCACTGGCACCCTCCCAGAGCCTGGAGCACCCTGCGATGACCGGGGACGGTACAGAGCAATGTTGAGCTTCACTGCAGAGAGAAGGGACAGGTAAAGGGGTGCTCCTGGGGTTGTAGGGCGGCTCCTGGGTGGTCCAGGGTTTGGAGACAGGGACATTGGGATGGGAGCATATGCTCTCACCTTTCTGTCCAGCAGAAGGTCCCTGCAGGTGCAGGGCCACCAGCTGGGTGGGTGACTCCAGTACGAAGCACTTGTGGTCAATGTCCAGGATGTCGAAGGACTGGGAGCGAGTGTAGCGGAAAACGGGTGCCTTGGTATAACTGCCCTTGATGCACTGGAAGGAGACGGGCTCTGTGGGGAGAGAGACAGTCAGGAGGATGCTGCTCCCAGGTCCAAGAATGTCCCCCAAGAATACCCTCTGCCTGGGGTGCCAGCCCTGACATCACCCTCATACCGAAAATATCATCCAAGAAGCTGCCAAGATCACTGTCAGCAAAGTCCTTGCGTGCCGGCTGCTTCAGGAGCTTGGTCACAGCCACCACCAGGACGGCAGCCTGGCGAAAGGTCCTGGAAAGGGGTCCTTTTGTCACTGTCACCTGGATGCCCACCCCAGGCGATGTCCCCTCCAAGTCCAGCCAGGGCTTCTAGGGAAGAAAGGGGATGTAGGGTGAGAGTCTGGCTTCCATGCGACATGGACCCCACCACTCCCACCACCACAGCCTTACCTTCTGCGGGCACAGACAGCTGGGGCCATACAACGTCTCCTCGTTCAGGCTGAAAGGCAAAGGGACGTGGTGAAGTCAGGTTCAGGAATGCAGCATCACAACCCCCAAGTCCTCTCTGGCATGTCTATTCTTACCTGCTGCTCTCCAGTGTGTCCAAATCAGGGACGAATGCCATTGCTGCCACTGACTGCAGAGTCCTGGGCTGAGACTTCACAGCTCCTGCAAACTTCTGAGGCGCTTGCCTGCTCCTGCCTGTCCTGCCTGCGGCGCTGCTTGGATCATCAGCGTGGCTGGTTTTCAAGAGCTTGTAGAAGGAAGTGCCGTCAGAGTGGGATTTCCAGGTTTTGCAACATCTAGGTTTGCCCAATTCTCTGTTGAGACTGGAGGGCTGAGGGGGGCTGAGGGGGCTCCAGGCGGAGCATGGAGCAGAGCAGGGGATGATCTGGAGCTGGGTTGTGGGGCAGAGCAAAAGGATGCTCCAGGGCTGGTGTGTGGGGCAGAGAGCAGAGGGGAGTTTGGCATTGATGTGTGGGGCCTGTGACCATGTACCAATCTGCCATTTGGTTGACCCAGCAGGGAGCTGGAGTCACTCAGAGCCAGTTCTGAACCCCAGTCCCAGCACCAGGCCCAGCCCAGCTGTGACGACACCATCACTGTCAGGGCTAGGACTGTGGATGTCCTGGACGTGGCCAGTGATGCAAGCGCTGCCTCTCCACCATTTCGCCACAGCTTCCTCCCGTACTGCCCAGACCTCTGCTGACACAGCCAGCTGTGCCTCCTGTGTCACCCCTCTTGTCCGCACTGCCCCAGCACCAGTTGGGTGCAGGACCCTGCTGTCTGCTCAGTTTCTTGTGCCTACTCATGCTACCTTGGGGACATGGCCTTCAGACACGTGGCCTTCAGGGGCCCTCCTCATCTTCACGTCCATTGGTGTGCCGGAGATTGCACCATGCTGGGAGGGCCACGGATGTGTGTGGCCAGGCTTGCGTGGACTCGGGCTTTTGGGGTGTTTTCCTGGCACCCATTTCACTTCCTGAAAGTGCCATCCAGCCCTGCACACTCCCGTGCCCGAGACTGCAACCACCATGACTCACTGCCAGGAAATTGCCAGAAAAGCAGAGTTCCCAGAGCACCTCCTGTGTCCTGCTGGGCATCCCACGTGGCTGGATATCCCCAAAAGCCTGAGGTGCCCCAGAGCAAGGGGTTCTCCACGACACAGTGGCCGTCCCTAGGCATGGCAGAGGCCCCCAGGGCACGGTTGGGGTCCTGAAGCCATGGTGAGAGTCACCAAGCCACGATGAAGGCTGAGAGCCATGAATAACGGTGGGTGTCCCCGGGCCATACAAGGTGTCCCGGCTGTGGTGAGAGTTCCCCGGCCATGCCGGGGGTCCCCAGCCCGTTCAGCGGCCCCCGGGCCATACAAGGTGTCCCGGCTGTGGTGAGAGCTCCCGGCCACGGCGGGGGTCCCCAGGCCCTACCGACCCTCGGGCCCCGCCCCGGCCTCGCCCCACCGCTGCACGCCGGCCGGCGCAGACGCATTGGGCCGGGATCGGAGTGGCAGAAGGGGCGCGGTGACGCGACGTGGTGACGCACGGGAGAGGCGGAGCGAGGCGGGGCGGGAGCGGCGGTCGGGGCCGCTGTCAGAGCCGGGACCACGAGCGGGGCGTACGGACACGCCGGTGAGTTCCGCGGCAGGGCTGGACGGTGGGGCCGGACCTAGCCGGGCGGGAGGGCCGGGGTCGGGGCCGGGCCCGCAGCAGGGCGGGGGTCGCGCCGGGGGCCGCGCCGGGGGCCGCGCTGGGCCGGTAGCCCGCGGTCGCGCCCCGGTGTCCTTGGCGCCGCCCGGGCGCCTGGGAGGAGGGGAGCGAGGGGGGGGGGCGGGACTGCGGCGAGACGGGCAGCCCTGCGGCCAATGGGAGGGCTCGGCTGTTCTCTTCGGGCCTATAGACAAAGAGGGACGCGGAGCCCGGGCGGCGGCGGCGGCGGGCGCTGATTGGGGGGCGCGGGCGGCGGCGGGCCTGGCGCTCTGTCGGGGGCGGGGCGGGGGTCCCGCTGCCTCTTCCCGCGCACCTCACGGCGCCTCACGGCCCCCCGGGCCCTTCGCGAGGCCGCTCCGGTCCGTCCGCCGGCTCCGGGAGTACCGCCCGAGCCCGCGGCGCCTCCCGACATCTCTGGAGGGCTCTGCTGGGCCGCGGTCGGCCTTGCAGCGGACACGGAGGGTCTGCCCCGGCCCCCGCCCGCTCTGAGGCCCTCGCCTGCCGCGGGCCCGGTGCTGGATCAGCTGTACCTACAGCCGGTGGCGCTGGCCCCGCTGCTTCCTGGAAGGTGGAATTTGTGCTGTTTTTAGCCTAGAAAGTATTGCTAAGTCGCAGTCCTTACCAAGCACCTGCCATCTGGGCCGCCGTCCCCATCCCGGCTGCGGGTGGGTCACATTTAGCACTTTAATCTGCTTATTGGCGCGCTCCAGCCGTCATCTGTTGTGGGCATTCCTGAGGTATGACCTTTTGGTGAGGTTTGGGCTGTGGCTGGCTGCCCCTCTGCACGCTCCTCAGGCGTCACTCCCAGTGTGACCTTTGCATTCCTGTGTGACCCTGATATCCCTTATCTCAGACTTCGTTTCCTATGTCCTTGCTTCTGGTTCTCTACTTTGATCCAACTTGCAATCATCCCAGCTCCAAGCTTGCCTGTCTCTGTCCAGGCTCCTAGCTAACCTTTCCTGCAAGAGATCTTCAAAGAGCAGCTAGTTCTGCTCACTTTGCGTCAAACTCTGGCATTAACCTCGCTGTTTTCCAGAGAGGTCACGGGATGCTGCTGAGTGACAGCACCAAAACTGGATATGAAACTGGAGATGATGATGATGATGCTACTTCTGCCTAAAGCTTTTTCCCTGCCATATGCATGCCTGTGCTTTGGCACCAGATTCAGTTTGCTCTCTGAAATATCATGGAATGCTTTGAGTGGGAAAGGATCTTAAAGATCATCCAGTTCCACCCCCCAATAAGCAGGGACACCTTACACTACCCCAGGTTGTTCCAAACCCCTTCCACTCTGGTCTTGGACACTTCCAGGGATCCAGGGCAACCTATACCAGGGTCTCACCACCCTCACAAGGAATAATTTCCTCCCAATATCCCATATAACCCTGCTCTCTGGCAGTGGGAAGGCATTCCCCCTTGTCCTATCATTCCAGGCTCTTGTCTCTCCTCAGCTCTCTTGGAGCCCCTTTAGGGACTGTGAGGGTCTCTAAGGACTCCCTGGAGCCTTCTTTTCTCTAGCTGAACATCCCTGACTTTCTTAGGCTTTCAGAAAAATAACAGTGTGTATTTTGCTGTGTAGATCTGATGAGGGTGAACTGGGAGAATCCCCAGTGCTGTGGCACTTGTGGTCCTGCACCTGCTGGCCTTTCTTGCCAGGTGTTATTGTGGGCAGGATGGAAATGACAAGTGACTCTTTGAACCAAAACCTTATAGTTTGCAATGGGGAGTGTAGTCCCTGCCATGCTGGGCAGCCAGAACTACAGAATCACTGAATATGCTCAGTTGGAAGGGACCCACAAGGATCACCAAGTCCAACTGCTGGCCCTGCACAGGACCATCCCAAGAGTCACACCCTGTGCCTGAGAGCACAGCCTAAAAGCTTCTTGAACTCTCAGGTTTTGACCACTCCCCTGGGGGGCTGTTCCAGTGTCCAAACATCCTTTGAGTGAAGAGCCTTTTTCTAATATCTGACCTAAACCTCCCCTGAAGCGGCCCTCGGGTCCTGCTGTTGGTCACTACAGGGGAGAGATCAGTTTCTGAACTAGATTCAGCTGGAAGGCTGGCTAGCAAACTGCTGGGTGTGATGGTGTGTTGTTTTCTCTAGTCCCTTGTGAAATTTCATTTTAATCTGGTGAACCGTGGTAACTGCTTTGCCATTGGGCTGCTGCTCGTTGGACTGGTCTGTGATATGGAAACCAGCCAGCTGGGTCACCTCTAGCCTTGGGTCCTGCCTCTTGCAGGAGGAGCTGGGTGGAAAGGGCAGCTCCAAGAAGAGTTGCTCCAAGTGCCTGCACTTCCTTCAGATGTTTTCCAGCTCTTTCCTTGGGCTGCTGTTGTCGGTTGGATGTGTGTAAAACCCCCTGGCTGATCCCAGGCCTCCCAGTACATGCCCATTTGGAAAACTGCAAGGTGGGACCTCTCAGAGGTCCCACACCAGCTCAGGGTTACTTTTCTGGGTTCTCTGAGCAGGGGAGAGCCCCTCTCTGGGTCTTTCACCTTTCTATTCTTGGGTCTGGGCTTTTGAGGAGCAGCAGTCTTTCTTGGAGCCCAGTTCTCAAGGGCTTTGTACTACTGTACCCCTTCTTTGCAAGCAATTTTCCCTGTAGACAGTTTCTTACCAGCTTTACTCTGGTGCACATCATAGCAAACTAAGCAGAAAACCTCGGCCAAGCAGAGTGGTTATAGAAATGGAAGCCCAGACCACCCTGGGAAGGAGAGTGATGGGAGAAGCTGAAATCAAGAGATGTGGGTGGCTTTGGTGTGCAGTGGCTCATTCGAGACAAGGGTTGGGTACCCACCAAGCAGATTTGCATTGCACTGTCGTGACAGGGGAGGTGATGATGCCATGCTGCCAGGGATAGGAGAGGCAGACCTGGCCATGCCTAGTGTACTGAGCAAAAACTGCATTTCCGAGCCATCAGGGATCTGGCTGTGGGACAGGGTGGATGGATTAATCCAAATTAAAAACTGATCCTAAGCTCAGTTCTTTGTGCTCGGGGAGGGGGTGGTCTCTGTTCAGTGCTCTCCTGCAGTAATTAATAACCCACTTTTCTGTTCTCCCTCAACAGGAACGTGTGTAAGGCAACAGGACAAAAATGCTTAACTTAAGGACTTGTGCAGCAAAACTGAGGCCGTTGACGGCCTCACAGACTGTAAAGACAATTTCCCAACACAGACCGGCAGCACCCAGGACGTTCCAACAGCTCAGGTGCTACAGTGCACCCGTGGCTGCCGAGCCATTTCTGAGTGGGACTAGTTCAAACTATGTGGAGGAAATGTATTATGCTTGGCTGGAAAATCCCAAAAGTGTACATAAGGTAAGGATCAACCTTGCCAGGACATCACCTTCACTTCTCTGTGTGTCTGAACAGTGGGTGCAGGTAAGTGCCACCTCTTGAGGAGGAGTGAATTCATCAGTAGGGCCTGGATGTTTGTGGATGGTCCTTCTGCTTCACTTTGCCCAAAAGAAACAGCAGTGATTCCTGGAGCAAGAAGCAAGAGGAGCTTTTTCTGTTCAAGAGTAAACGCCGTGGGCTTGGGACGTGGCAGCATCCTGGATCACAAGCGGATACAAGGAATGGCTTCTGGGAATCCTCCACTTGCTGTATTTTTTCCGTCTCTGGTGGCTCATCAAGAGGATTGATTCTGGAGTGGAGGATGGGGAAAAGGGACAAGGAGGATATTCTCCACATCGTGACTGGTTTCCTTTTTGTCTCAGGCATGGGTGGCATTCTGTGTTGGGGCAGACATAGATAAGCTCGGCTTTGAGCTTGTGTGTGTAAAGCCAGATTGCTGATCTACAGACTTGGCCCCATTCTGGCCTTGTCTCTTGTGTGGACTCCACCTTGTTCCAGTGACCTTTTTACCAAGATTCCTTCCCAGCTCCTCTCTGTACTCCTCTGTCCTCTCTGCACTTCTTCATGGGTCCCCTGAAGCTGAGCTGCTGTGCTCAGGCTGGGCTTGCAGCTGTCTCTGGTCATGTTGGCTTGCAGGCCATCAGCCTCTGTGCCCTGCCCAGGGGAGGAAAGTGCCACTCCTGTCCTTGATAAGCATTGCCCTCTGTCCTGCCAGATGGAGGGTCAGATCCTAGGCTGGAGCTCTTGGAAGGAGTCAGGCTGTCACAGGGCCTGGCTGAGGTTTTTCTATCCCTGTGTAGCATAGACACCAGCTGCTCCTTGCTGTGCTGTGTCCCACCAGGGAGGAAGGACACGTTCAGCTGGGAAGAGCTGGAATGTCTTTGCTGTTGTCACCAAAAACCTCTGCGGCTTCCTGCTGGTGCAATGGTCCCAGCTGAGCACACTGAATTAATTTCCTCCATGTACATACCAGGGGTTTAAACTGCAGAACAAGCTTTAGTTCTTGCTTAAAATAGGGAAGATAAAAAGTAGGTTATTTTAGGGCATTTTCTGCATGGAATCCTTTAGCTGAGCTCCAGTTTTCAAGCCTGATGAGCAGAGTTGGATAATAATAACAGTAAAATAATAAAAATTAGAGAAGAGTGGGAGAAAGAGGAGGTGAAGGCCTGATGGATGGGTGCCAGTGGGCTGCCCCAGGGTCAGTCAGTGCTGCTTGCTCCTGGGAGTGCATCCCCTTAAAAGTGGGGACACCATCCTCCTGCCTCCATTTGACCAGCTTGGGTGCTTGGTACAGCCCACACTGTCTCCCCATCCCCTAAGCAACATCATGGGTGCTTCAGGGAAGGTGGCCAAACAGCTGTGGCTGCAGGTGAGTGCTACCTGCATACATCTCAGGTAGGTTCAGCCTCCCTAAGCAGCAGCCCTGGAGTTTGGGTTGAACTGGGTGACAGGGACACAGCTCTCCCCATGGATCTGTACATGAAACAGCCCTTAACACAGACCCTTTAACTTGCCAATGTTTGGGATTTTAAATAGAAAGAGGTTTGATGACCCCATCACCCTCAGAAAACTGAAGGTGCTTGTCTGGGTTGATAAAGAACACAGCAATGTGCATAGCATGAACCCATTGCTTGCTACTTGACTGCCTGCTCTCAGCAAAGAGTAAATTTCCCTTAAATTTGGTTGAGGCTACTCCTCCTCCTCCTCCTGCCCCCCTAATTTCTGATGTT